TGATTTTATAAAGTATGTCAAAACAATCTAGTGAACTCTATTAAGGCAATAGAAAGTCTTCTTAAGCAAAATATAAGTCTATTTCCTCGAGTAACATACCTAAAGAGGTTGCTCAGTATACAAATAGTCAAAGTGGTAGGTGTAACTAGCATCCATTTGTAATACAATGCAACAATGATTGATCGACAAAAAATAAAAAAAAAAATCAAATTAATTTTTAAGAGGAATTTTTATCAACATATTTAAAATATTTTGTAATTGGGCATAGCATAATAATAATAATAAATTATCTTAGAAGAAATTAAATTATTTCACTATAAACTCAATAATAAAAGTTATTTTTAATGGAATAAAGTTTGTTTTATTATGATGTGCATATTCCCCATAAGGATAATCCCCAATGATTAATTACATCCCGAGAGTTTTTCACACTGAAAAACAATTAGAGTAAAATAGTGGTTTACATTCTCTCTATGAAAATATAGGCTAACCTAATTTCAAAATTTTCATTTTAAATGCTTTAAACGTTAGAATTTCAAGAATGATTGAATCATATATAGAATTTATTTTTAAAAAGAAGCCAAAGGAGGAAATATAGAAGCTTGATTTTCAAAAATTCAATACTATCCTATGTTGAGTTTTATATTTTAAAATTTGATTTATGTTTGAAACGAATCAATTTTATTTAGAAGCTTGGGACTTATATTCCAATAGCATAACATTGAGAAAATGCCCATGAATGTAAAGATTTATGGTAACTCCTTGGATCATAGACCTAAGGTGAGAACCACAAATAAGATGGTAACTCAAACCTAAATCTAACAAATAAATGGGATTTAGGAACTTGAAATATCGTATAAGGTTAAGTCAGCCCAACCTTTAATCCTATAATCATGTTAAAAGGACAGTCAACTAAATCTGCCCAAACAAATTTAAAACCAATCAATCTTGGTATCAATACATATGCAAGATATGTTTGCCTATTTTACTTTTAGGAAAACGATTGACCGCTTAGTCATTTAAGTTAAGATGTCTGAGCATAACTTATATATATTCTGACTTATAATACAAATTTTTTTAATTATCTAATCTTTAATATGAGTGCTTTTATTTTTTATATATGACTCATAAGGCTATACAATTAATGTTCATCAACTAATATATGAATTTGATACTGATTTTGATAAGTGAACTCTTATAAATAAGTAATCAAGAAAATACAAAATTGCAAACTAAAATCCATAAAGCGGCTTGCATTTCATTTTGTTTTTGAAAAAACTTAACTTATTTTTTATAAAATATGCAGATTTTATATGAAAATTTTATCCTGCAATTGATTTTAAGGTTGTTTTTTAATTTAATGAATAGAAAATTTACTCTTAAGAGCCTGCTCCATAGTATATTCAGGCCAGACCCAAGCAAAGCATAAGAAAAACCTAAAAAAATCATCAATTTCTAGTGTGCACTCAAAATAAATACACAATCATCATAACAAACAATCAAAAGAATAATTATAAGGGCAAATCATAACTCAAAAAAGAAAAACATAGAAGTCAGCTAAGTTGTCTGTCATATATAACCTACTCTAAATATATGGATTCAGCTTGTGAGTTTTTAAGCTTTAGCTTCTAATACCTTCAGAACTTCATCTTAGGTTCATCATTCCATTGTTGTATCCTAAAGTCTTACATAACAACATAGACAACAAAAGAATTAAATTTCAGGAAGAAGAGATTAAACCCTAAAAAGAAAACATTAAGAAGCATGTATATATGAAAATCCATACATCACATATTCACAGATTGCTTAGCATTGATGGTATCAACCTGATTTTAATCCTTGTTGGTCATGCCTAACTCAAGGTTTCAACACTAAAAGCAACTCCTGCAAGCAAAAGCAATCATTTTTACAATCATTTTGATCGCCCCTTTTAAGCATGAATATCTACATAGTAAAATATATATCTCTACCCAAACACTTAAAAGGATCATATCAACAATACAAATAACCATTAAAAAAAAAATTCATTACAAACAATCACAATCATATTACAACCACATATAAAAAAAAAAACTCTAATCCAAGGATGCCTAAAGTGTTGTGCATCTATTATTCTAGTTGGTTTGTCAGTCATACTATTATTTGATACGTGCTTTTACTATGAAATATGAAGAGATTTAATTTATTCCAGTGATAATTTTACTTTAAGTTATTTGTAATTTAAAAGTATTATTTGGATTTTAAAGATATTTCATATCTTCAAAGTATTATAAAGAACTAGTTGACTGTCAATAAAGAAGTTTGTTTAATTGGGCTAAGCAAATATACATAAAGGTTTCACTTAAGAAATAGTCAACTTCACTTAATTAAGCTAAGCAATTTCAAGATAGAAAAGCTCCTATATAGACCTAAAAGTTTATTTTTATTTAAAATTGAGTTCACTTATTTTGGCTAAGTAAAAATAAATAAATAAAGTTTGGGTCAAGATAAACATTCACCTACTACTGGTAAAGAATGTGGGCTCTAACTTTGAGGCCAAGGAACCAAGACCACCTATAAGTTTAAAGTGAAAAAAAATAAGAGCTTCCTATTTGATTTGGGTAAAATAGAAAAGGCTAAGGCTTTTAGGCAAAAAGTCAAAGAAATAATCCCTTCATGGATGTGAATTAAGAACATGAGGGATGTTTCAAAAACTTTGAGGCCAATGAAATACAAGAAGTCCTATAGCTTCGAGGCTAAAGCAAATGATAGTTATGTGATTTTTATATCATAAAGCAAAATTGCGATATCTGCTCAAATTGGGTTCAAATAAACACAATAGTATTGAATATTTTGGCTGCTAACTTGAGAGTTGAAACCAACGAGATTGGTCTAAACTTAAGAGCTTTAAGGATGAGTATCTTTCATTTAATTGAGAAAAATAAATGACATATGTTAGACTTGGCATTTGTTGACTTAGAATTAAACAATAAGGAGAAGAATACAAAATTTTAACCATAAAATAGACTAATGCTATTTCATAGTCCTTTAGAGGTTGTTTGGGAGCCTTCATATAGATTTAAAAAGAGCAATAAGGTGAAAAACCTAAAAAGAGGAGATTTAGATTGATTCTGGTTCAATTTAAATATAGTATTAAGATGAGTGTCTTTCTAAGGTTACTTGGCACCTAAAAGGGACCTAAACAAATGATAGGGTTCTTTTGTTATTCATTAAAAATGTCTTAAGAGAACTATAAATGGAGCAATATGAATCCTTTTTGGGAAATCCAATTTGGGTTTGCTATTCACCACTTAGGTAAATTTTGCTTGATAGTATGAGAATGTTCCAAATGGATTCAGAAAGAGCAAATGTTACTTGATTAATCGAGTCCAGCAAATAAGTTAAAATTTGGATCCTAAGAAAAAGTGGATCGCTTGCTTGCTTTTGGGCATGCAAAATGATCCTACAAGCGAAGGATATAGTCCTAAGAAGTGCCAAGGCTTTTTTATACTCGTAAAAAGGCTACAAGAAGTTTATATATAAAGCTAGAGAAAACACAATTAAAAAAAAATCCATTTTAACCCATACAAACCTCTAATCATCCCAAGATTTGTTCAAAGAAAGAGAGTTTTTAAGATGAATTGAAACGATGAGGTGTTACTTGGTTGATTGAATCAACCAAATGATTGAAGTCATTTGATGGTTTTGGCTCTAACAAACATGCTAAAGGAAATTAAGATTTGACTTAAGGATTGTTAGCGCTTTCTTGAATACTTTAAAACATTATTTGGAAACTTTCAAAGGAGTCTAAGAAAGCACCAAAACAAGGAGACCTTAAATAGGAGAAAATTCTAGTTGAGTTTGATTCAACTTAAATTAAAATGACTCTAAAATTTATCTAAGGCTGAGATAACTTTAAGAGGATTCAATATTTCTTAGTACAATGCTTTGAAGCTCTCGAAAACTCCAACAAAAAGTCCACAAGAGAAAAAAAAACTCCAAAGAATGTAATCATAATTTTTATAGAATACTTTGAATTTAGTGAAGTAGAAGAGTGATGACCGCCGTCAATCCCTTTGAAATCAAAATCAAGCTATATTTGGGCTTATTGAAGTCGATTTGATCAAAGAAATAAAATTGGACGACGATGAATCGACTTGACTCGATTCGACCTTGGTTGTCGCCGATCGTTAAATTGAGTTTAGGCAAGCCCGATTTAATCAAAAAACCCTAATTTGATTTTAATCAAATAAACTCAATCAAGTGTTGTCGAGCCGACAACTTGAATAAATTTTAAGCTCGATGGTTTCAATCGACCCAATTTAATCTGTTTCAACTTGATCTAAATCAAATCATTGTTACTGAACTCGAATCAATTCAATGAAATGAATCCAAACTCAAATCTAATGAAATTGGCTTGATTAGTTCAGCCATTTCATTTCATTTAGCATGTTCAGGGGTACTGTGAGTTGTTACAAATTCTCTCTCCCTCCCCTCTCTCCCTGTCTCTCTCTCTCTTTCTCACAAGAAGCTCAAGAGAAAGAGCTTCTTCCTCATCCTAGATCCAAAAAATTCAGTGAACTAAAAACAGAAATTTGTACCTTCAAGTAAATTAATATTAATTTAGATTTTAATTATGTCATCATCCAATGCAAGTAAAACAACAAATTCCTTCCAATATCAGAGAAAATCTAGATAAAAGCATAATACAAGATGTTTGATTTCGTGTAGTTTAACTGTCATATCATCACTTCAATAGTATGCTGCTTCACGACCGTTCATGTGCTTGCGCACTCAAATCAAAGGTGCATGTGCAAAATAGGTATTTTATGAGAAATTTTCCATATAATACAGCTGCTTTTTGAAAAATTAAGCAAGAACATTTGTACCAAATGATGCTAAGGTTTTAAAATGATGGCAAGATATTCCTTCCACAAACAATTTTGTATGGAAAAGATAATATTTATTTCAGAACATGAATGGAGCAGTTCTAATTAACACCATTCAGGAGGAGTTATTACCAGAATATCCCATCAAATATATTTGCAACAGTGAAAGATGACTGTACGAACACCATAAGAAGAATCATATGCGTCCATGCATATTGGCTAAATTGATACTTGTACATCTTTTTCTTCAAGGTAAGGATGAACCACACAAAGCCTAAACCAGAAATAAATAGTTCTTTAGGAAGTAATAAACAATACTACAAGCATAAAAAATAAAGCAAACATGTTATCTCAAATTCCAAGCTAACCACATCAAAGATTACTTAACAAATAACTATACGTGTACTCGGGTCCATCACAATCCAGAAATCATTATGACTGATTTATCTACCAGTTTTCATAGTTATACAATGTAATTTTCTTGAAGTTCGAAGGTGAACGCCAGCTTCAATATTTATATAGGTTCACTAATATGGCTTCTCCACAAACTTCAGAAATATTTACAGGTCATCCAATTCATAAATGTCAGACGTTTGGACTATGCATCAGAAAGAACAGTTTTTCTGGAATTGATGCATTAGACTTTCTTTTGCGAATTTTCTTCATAAATGATCAGACGTTTGGACTATACAAGTCATTTTCTTCATCCTTTAAGTTAATTCACTCATCTAGGCATATACTATTTTTCATCTTCAAGGATAATTTCTCAAGGGTTACTTGGAATTTATTCATTCAAATGTCGTTAAGAAGTCCTCCACATATGTCAAACTTTTAATGAAGAAATAAAAATTTAGCTTTCCGCCTTAAAAATGCTTTAGAAATTATGTAACCTCAATTTCGCAAATTCTTCTCTATCAATGATAGTATTCATCTAAATTCCTCTATAGCTCTGAAAAGAATGGTTTATAGAATGCAAAAAATACTACCTCTTTAAACTTGTGAGGGGATTGATGTTTCACCTGAATTTTCCTTATCAATTCTAGAAAGATGTGGGCTTGCCTGATATCAGATTAATCATATCCCTCCCTAGTTCCCAACCACATCTCACCCCCTCCACTCTTTATCCAATTCAAGTCGTCATTCCCCTTACAACATGGTTCTTCGATTGTACTAGTTTGCTCAAGCATTTCACTTGCAGGAAAACCTTCTTCTCGTACCATTAGGCATATCTTTCTCGCATGCTCTTCCACTTTAAAAAAGTCATCCATGTTATAATCCCTTCACATGACTATTATATACTTCGCCAATGTAGACCTATTCTAGCCCCTACACTTTTGAGCCCTCTTTTTCATGATTCTTTTTCCTCCAAAAGCTCGTTTTCCTACCTCTAAACCTCTACATCTGCACTCTTGACAACATCAGCCACCACCCATGACCTTCAACCACATTATCAGATTCAACTAAGAGTCCACCAGATAATCAACTATTTTGACCTACATTTACTATTACTCTCTAGAGAGATAAAACACAAAAAACTTATTGTGCTCATTCACTCATATGCTTCTTTAGATTACTTATCTATTTTATTTTGTATTTTTATCTTTTCTCTGTCATCTATATATATTCCCATGACATATCAAATACATAACCCTTTATGAAAACATGCTATAGATGTTGAAAATTGAAATGGATGCTCTTCTTAGTCAAAGGATTCAATATAATTGTTCCCCCTCTTGAGGAAAAAATAACCGTCTATCAGGACATGCTCACTACGAAATGTCATTCTAATAGATAGATGGATCACTACAAAGCACAATTAGTTCATAAAAGGTTCACTCATATCCAACTATTTTGACACCGAACCCTAGTTACCAACTAAATTCCATTAGAATTCTTTTCAAGTAGCCACTAATCAATGGTTAGACTATGCTACAAATGAATGTAAGCAATTTCTTCGCACATTGTAACACGCAAAAATCGGATCATATAAAGCAACCTTTCTGGTGTGTTACTAATGAAGAAGACCACATATATCAACTCAGAAAGACTTTTTAGAAGATTAAAGAAAGTTCATGAGCCTGATTTACAAACTTTATAAAGTCAAGGTTGAGACTGATCATTAAAATAGCACTGCAAATCACTCTATCTTCATGAAGCATACTCCTATATGTTACTTGATACTAGTTTTATGTTGACAACTCTCTTATTAGATGTGACCATAACATCTTTGAGGTAAAACACTACTTAAAAAGCGCTCTATTACCAAAAAACTAACATGTGTAACATCTCATTTCTTGTTGGAGCGGTGATTCAACATATGATACAAAATATGAAAAATACAATATATATATATATATATATATATATATATATTGCAAAGTTATCACATGGAGCTTCAAATACATGAAAAAGTCACCCAAAAAAAGTATGTTATATACTAAATTAAGCGTCTTAATCTTGAAGCATTATGTATCCCCTTATGCTAATTATATTGTCTTAGTTGAAGACAACAAGCCCGGCTCAGGATATTATATCTTTATAAAGGCTAATATGATCACAAGAAAAACCTGGAAATAGACTTTTATGACCAGATCAAGTGTCAAAAGGTTGAATACGTCATGACTCTCAAGTTTGTGATGGTGGTGGTACTCTTTTGGTAAGATTAGTGGCTAGCTATAAAAGACTATGAAACTTTAATGTAATATTTAAGGAAGTGTTCTGGTCCTCTGGAGTTTGTAATGGGATGGTGAGGAGGATTTTAGGGGTATGCTAATAGGAATGCTACAAATAGTCCAATTTGGGTTAATTTGAGATTATTTAAAATATCACTTTAGTGAATTGCTTTTATGTGGGCTAAAGGGAATGAAATGAAGGTTGAGAGTTAACTTAAGATGTGAACTTATGATTTGGGGTTGATGGTAAAATGTAATGTTGTTTAAGTCGATATTGAAGTGTAGAAAACAAAACTAGATCCTAGTGTTCTCGAACTTGGCTGAGAGTTATATTGTGAGATTTCAGTAGCTAGATTAATGATCTTGGAGGATGTTAATGGAGTGAAGAAAAAGTTGTAAAGAGTTCAGAACAGGTATTAAAAAGGAATATTGAATACCATAAAAAAATAAAGATGACTCCATAATCTTATCATAGGAAAAAGGCACACTTGAAGCCATCAAGCACCAAGCAAATGAATAGCACTTAATCACCAAATTATTTCATTCCAAAAATAAAAATTATAATGCATATCAACCCATATTTATAGGAATAACAAGACTTTTGGGCAACCAATTTTAGAGGAAAAAAAAAAGAGAAAAGAGAGGAAAATAAGGGATTGGCGGACATTAAAGAATCACCTTTTAATGTCTCATTCCTACTAAACCATGTTGAAAATAAAACATAAAAATAATAAAATACAAATTACATCAATTTTTTTTTAAATTATGGGATCTTTATAATGGCAGACATTGAACTCTTGTAATTGAGCTTTTTCTTTAATATTTTCCCTGGACTTTAACTTAGCTCTAGTACTTGAGTTTTTCGCTTCATTATCTTGATCCACATAATGTGCTACATCAATTTTCCTTCTCGTCTTTGAATACAAGACACAATATTCCAAAAATAATGCCGCTCTTGAAGCATATTGTCATTTTTTAATTGCAAACAATCTATTTTTTAATGAATGAACTAAAATATATTAAAGCATATTATTGTTTTTATATAAGATATTATTTACAAGAAAATTGTTACTCATATTTCTAATTCAGACCAAGTGATGAATATCCTTACAAAAACACTCGATCACTTTTTTTTGTTTATATAACAATTTGGAACTATCCATATCTATGCTAACTTACAAAGGGGTGTTAGTATATTAAGTAGGTTACTTGTGGGAAAGTATCTATAGTAGAGGGATATAAATTGATAGCCTCGTAATTGGGAGATCATAGTCCTTTATTTATTTATTTTGTATATTCTCATGTATAGATATATTCTCATTTATGTCTATCTATAAACCCACTATATGCAATCAATTGACATAGAAATTCAATTCCTGAACAGAGATGAAAAGTGCTATGCGGAAGAATTATGTTGCAGAACATGAGTTTCACATAGCTGTTTGATGAACTGAGACATGGTTTAGTATAAAAAATAAACTCGAATCATCATAATACGATTCAGTGGATCATATGATGATCTTTTCAGCTTCACAGATATTACATTCACAGAAGGCGCCAACCTTTACCTCATCAACTGCAAACAGCAATGCAATGTCATGCTTTAATTACAAACAGCAATGCAATGTCATGCTTTCATTACAAATTAAAACAAAGGATTTCTCAAAATTTTAATGAATAATCTCTTAGACACGTTCGTAAAATCTTTCTTTATTAGTTTTCCGTATTAAATAGTCCTTCAGCTTTTCGCAATGACAACATCATAACAGCATCCTATTCAGTAGCAAATACAAGATTGGCAAAAAAATGAGAATGGTAAATTCCCACGTCACATGGATAGCAAAATAATAAAATCGTTTCTAGGCATGTTAAATCTCATTCATGAGGGCTCACTAAAAACAGAATGTATAAGCCACTAAGATTATTGATCTTAATTGTGCAGTTTAGTTCTTATTCTGGCATTCTATATGGTGTCAGTTGATATGAATGATCAAGGAAAGTAAGACTATAATGGATTCCCTGACCTGCAATATAAAGAAAGTAGCAGATAAACATCTGATATTTGACAATCCAGCTCACGAGCCTGTATAACAACTTATCTGTAGTTATAGTGTTAACAAGATGCTGGCTGAGAAATCGTCCATAGGTGAACAACATAGCAGTGAAGAAGAAATGCCTGCAAAGCAAAGATGACATCCAAAGATATAATGCAAATATTGAAGTTCAATAAAACTATATGACTAAGAAGTTGAAGTCGCTGATGAAAATTATAAAAATGTTAAAGACAAAATGATAACCACATAAGCAGTAGATAATACCAATTCAAAAGCCTGAAACCTGGAAGCTGTCTATCTTCATTAGCTCTTCTGAGCAGATTAAACAACTCCCTTGCCATAAAGATTTGGAGGACAACAACCATAGCCCAAATGTACAGATGACCCATGTAGATAATAAATATGAAGCCTCCTATCATCCAAATTGTTGAATATGTCCTAATGAGCATTGACTTGTATTTTTTTGGGTCGTTGACAAGAAACTGAGATCCATCAGATTTGGGGACCTCTGGTGGAAGCTGAAGAAAAGGGAATATTATAATTTGCCATCCAACTATTTTTCACCACCCATAATCAAGTTAAATCATCTTACAAATGAAAACCAACTCAAGTGCCAAGAAAAACCAAAACCCCCAAGTATAACCAGCTGCCAGTAACTAAACCAGCTCAAAATACCTGGGTACTTAACATTTATAATGTAAATGTCCAACAAGTGTTACATCATTTATCCATAAATAGCATCTGATTCACCAAGGTACTGAGTACCTCATTAACAGATCACGAAACCTAAAATTATAACCATCAATAATTTGATAATCAGGCAAGAAATTAGAAAAATTCCACTTGGCATGATAACTCATAAGCTAACCGCCAGTAAACTGAAACTAAAAGTGTGATGATAACTACAGTATTGGTCTTTAATTATTTTACTTAGTCTTGTTTGTATTAGCTGTTTGAGTTTCTTAGAGTCAGGAATTATTTGTGTAACACTTCCAATGCCAGGTCCCAAGTCCTGGAAGAAAAAAGTGGAAGGTTGCGCTAGATAGTCGACAGCTAGTGTAAAATTTGTCGAATAATCATGGGTCTATGCATGAGAAAGCGAATGTTATGTGAAAAGTAGCTAGTAGTATTAAGAATGTTGCAAATGATGTACTTGAATTTTTAAAAGGAAAAGCTCCTAATAATAAAAATAGTTAGTGATGTGATCAAAATGTGCAAAAAAATATATAAATAAGAAGCTTTGTTATAAAAATTGGTTTAGACGTAAAAACTCTAAAAATTGAGAAATATATAAAGAAGCGTGTAAGGTGTCTAAGAAAACAACCTGCGATGCAAAGATTTTAGCTTTTAATAATTTATATAATAGATTAAATTCTAAATAGAGCGAAAGATATATGTATAAGTAGCTAATCAAAAAGATAGGAGTAGTAAGAATTTAGTTCAAGTGAACCGCATTAAGGATGAAGATCAAAAAGTACTTTTATTAGAAGAGGATATTCAACAAAGGTGAATGAGATATTTTGCTAAGTTTTTCAATGAAGATTGTGAGAATACGATTGACTTTAGTGACCTTAGCACTCCAAATGAAAATAGATATTTTTATTTTTAAACGTATTAGTAAAACTGAAGTTAGAGAGGCTTTTAAAAAAATGAGGTGTGAAAAAACTATTTGGACCTGATGATATTCAAATAGAGGTGTGGAAATGCTTAGGAGATGAAGGAAATTCTTGGATTACTAAACTTTTAAATATTATTTTGAAGACTAAAAAGATGACTGATGAGTGGAGAATGAGTGTGTTGATTTCTATTTTTAAGAATAAAGGTGATGCACAAGATTGTGCAAATTATAGAGGAATTAAATTGATGTGTTATACTTTAAAACTTTGGGAGAGAGTTATGGAGCATAGGTTACGATGTGATACTACAAAATTAATTTGGATTCATCCTGGGTAGGTCTACTATGGAAGCTATTCATTTATTAAAAGGGTTGATGGAGAAGTTTAGAGAGAATAAGGAGGATCTACATATGATATTTATTGATTTAGAAAAAACATATAATAAAGTTCCAAAAGAAGTGCTATGGAGAGTTATGGAAAAGAAAGGAGTTTATAATGCATAAATAGTTATATTCAAGTCATAGGGATACGTATGCAAGAGCTGTTACTAGTGTTCAAACACAAAGTGGTTTGACCAAGTATTTTCCTATTTCAGTTGGATTACATCAAGGATTAGCCTTAAGCCCTTATCTTTTTTACTTTAGTCATGGATGTTCTTACTAGATATTTGCAAGAGGATATACCCTGGTGTATGCTTTTTTTCTGATGATATTCTTCTTGTTGATAAGCCTAGAGAGGGAGCTGAAGGTAAACTCGAATTATGGAGGTCAACCATAAAATCTAAAGGTTTTCGCTTGAGTAGATTTAAAACCGAATACAATGAGTGTAATTTTAGTAGTAATAGATCTAATGGGGGGTTTGTGACTTTGAACGATCAAGGCATTAATAAGTGTACTAGTTTTAGATACATTGGGTCTATTGTTCAGAGTGATGGTGAAATAGATGGGGGATATTATTAGTGCAATTCAAGTTGGATGGTTGAAGTGGAGGAATGTTTCGGGTTTGTTGTGTGATAGAAAAGTACCACTCAAATTTACGGGAAAATTTTATAAGATGATCGTGAGACCTACAATTCTTTATGGTGCAAAATGTTGATCATTAAAAGAGAAGCATGATATTAAGTTAAGTGTTGTTGAGATGAAAATGCTCTAGTGAATGAGTGGATCTACTCTTAGAGATAGAATACGAAATAAGCATATCCGTGAAAAGGTTGGAGTAGGTCCAGTGATAGATAAGATTAGAGAGAGCGTCTTAGCTGGTTTGGTCATGTAAAACAGAGGCCTTCCGATGACCCTATTAGGAGAGTAGATGTATTAGATTTGGCCTATCTTAAGAAAGGTAGAGGTAGACCTAAAAAAACTTGGTTAGAAAATATTAGAAATGACCTTTCTTTATTAGATTTAAATGAGAATTTGACTCTTAACAGAATACAATGGAGAAAAAAGATTCATGTAGCCGACTCCACGTAGTGGGATAAAGGCTTGATGTTGTTGTTAATTAGTTTACACAATTATCTTTATGTTTGGCTATAAATACACCCGAACCTTAATTCAATTTCCCTCTCTACTAAAGCATTTCTTTCTTCTCCTCTCCTATTCTCCCTTTTTCTTCTCCTTGTTTTTCCCTTCTCCTGGCTATCAATTTCAGAATAAGAACCATGAGCAACAAGGATTCCAACCCCTGAGAGGCTGCTGTTAGGTGTGCTGATGGTGTCCGCTGAAGGCAAGAAGTTACTGTCCCGTGGCTTATGAAGAACCGGAGTGGTGGTGCTCCATCCCTCCTACTAAAGAACAATAATTCGGAAGAAGGCTGGCTGAAGCCTTACGTGAACCAATAGAGTTCAGGTTCTGGCGAGTGACAAGAATATTTCTTTCATAAAAGCACCAAAGCCTAGCGCCCAGAAGAATTGGCTAAACCGCTAAAGAATGATAACTATAATAAAGATTCCATAACAGTTGAGCCTAAGGAAGAAAAGGACAACCAAGGGCCAGGGACTAATCAACAAGACTCCAATCAAGGTGAGCCTTCTTGGTGTATTGTATCGTAAGAAGATATAGTTGCAGTTTTATTACAATAACAATGATGACGGTGACTCAAATCTAGCCAAATTCATTAGGACCATATAGCTTGAGAACAAATTCAACACTATTTGAACTCCAAAATGCACAATTCTTAAGCCGCCACTAATGACATAGGTATGCTAACAAAATGCTAAAAAACAAGATAGAAAACTCACCTCACTAGATCGTTTCCGATGTCGAAGCCGAGTTGTTGAATTTGACGAAGGATCACCAATATTGTTTTCCTTATGCATGGCCTTTAACTTTTCTGTCTACCGAATAATAGTGCAAATGAGTATTCAATACAAAATACAATAATTAATTGGAAAAAAAGATTAATCCATGTTCAAGCATTGAATTATTACAAGTGATCAATATAGCAAGCTGTAGCATCAAATGTGTGGTACTATATGGTTATTTTAAGAATAGCATTGTTTCAACTAATATGTATAATCATCATATGAACTAATGATAGGGAATGCATACTTGCTGAACAAACTGCATGCAATTGTATTTTTTATATCCATTCAAATTCACTTTCTTTCCTTAAGACCAATTTAACAATACTAATGGTTAAACTTCTAATAGCTTGTATTTTTATACCTTAGGGAACTCGCTCACATAAAGAACGGTTTATTGTAAATGAAGCAAATACTAAAACTGAATTACAAGGACAGTGAAATAGTTCGTGTTAGGTGGTAATGATAAAGGGATTCAAACTTGAGCTCAAAAGACTAGATTTTCCCTTTTAACCCAAGGCTAACGACAAGAAGAAAAAGTATGCCACGACATCCTGACTAAAATTTTGACCAATATGGGTTTAAAAGCCTTTAGATATGCTTTAATATTACAAAAAACTCAAAACAAATTAGGAACTTAGGGCCCTATAAGGACCAAATTTTAGTCAGGATATGCTAACACAATTTTTTTTTTCTAAAGCCAATAGGTGTTGGTATATAAATAAATGTTTGTCAATTATTCAATTTATGAGACTTAATCACGCATTCTTATTTTCCTTGACATTAAGCCATACTACATTGGTTCAACACTTGTGTCTGACAGCTAAAAGTGACATTAGTACATCATTTCAATCCTAATTCTTCATATCACTTTCCATTCTAGAAATTATGCCCTCTTAAGATCAATCTCTTGGCCTTCAAAATTGTTAAATATTTTCATTATTTTTTCATTATTGACAAATAAAATATTTAAATAGTTCCACAATGGAAAAAAAAAATTGTTTAGGAATTTTAAATGAAAAATTTACACAACAAGAAAAAAAATCAAACCAAAACATCGATAACCAAGCTAAACATGAGATTGAATCGCTAGAAAAAGCACTTGATTTCCTACAATGAAACTCAAAATTTATGTAAAGCTAAACTTGGCAGTGGATATTTTTATTAGGTCATGTAACAAGAGAATAAAACTATCAAGTGTTCAAGCACTAGGACGCTAAAGAGGAAATGAGGAAGAATGAGACAGTTAGTAATCATTTCAGACTTCAATATCACTTCTCATTTTGGAAATAAAAAAAGCTTCAGAAATACTCTAACCAAAGCTCATTCGATCCATGTTCCATCAAGTTTCTTGGTCTGCCAAGATTGACCAACCAAATTGATTTACACCCTTGATTGACAAAGATTGATTTTCAGAGGTAGGTATCTCTCTTAAGAGAATAAAAAAAAAAACGTCATCCTTGGCCAAATTACCTCTTCAACAAGTGTTGATTTATTTTTTCCATTCACAGGGAGATTTTGAACACTGTCAAATGTGAAAGCATTATTTATAACAATTTTCCTAGATCAACTGACCCTGTCATGCCCTTCAAAACTGCCATCACCAATTTATTAGGCCTTCTCCAACTGAACTCCAAATGCATGAATAGCATCGCCAGCCAAACGGCAAAACTTCCAGTATTTGATTGCAGGTGAACAGCGCGACGCCAATATTGGCGTTGCATTGTTCACCTGCGTTATTTTTCTGTCTCTATCGGATTTGCCGAAGAAATGCGCGAAAGAGAGAAAGACGATTACCTTCTACAAATGACGCAAAATGGAGTTCGATTGGAGATGAATCACTCCATTTTTTAGTTTCACTGCATTTTTGAGTGAAAAATGGGATTTCGGTTGGAGATGCCCTGACTTTGGATAAATTACTAATTCTATTACCAACTCTGATTGGAAGGGCCGCCATTTATGACTCCCACCCCTCAACCCGGTCCTATAGGTCAAGACCTCGTCTAGGGTCCCGCTGTATCAGGCGGGAACTTGAAACTCAAATTCGACGCAGGATTTGAGCAGGATTTAGCCCAAATCCTGCCAAACAGCAAAAATAACAGCTTTAAATTCTAAGGGGGTGTTTGGTATCGGATTTATTTCGAGTTTTTAGTAGGATTTACGGTAAATCCAGCCAAACGCAAAAAATGGCGCCGTAAATCCGGCAAATCCGTAAATCCCGGATTTGCGGATTTACGGCGTAAATCCGCTAAATCCCGGTAAATCCAAATCCCGCTAGAAGTCGGATTTACGGGATTTGGCCGAAGAAGCGCGCGAAAGGGAGAAAGTTACCTTCACAGAGAGCGAGAGGGAGCTCCCGTCGTTGCTTCAGATCAAAATGTTGTAACGTCCGATCCGACAGGAAGGGAACGTCGTCGAAGGAGCGAAGTCGAACAGCAACGACTCGCAAGTCGAACAGCAACGAAGGAGCCGAAGAAGCGACTCGCAAGTCGAACAGCAACGAAGGAGCCGAAGAAGGACTCGCGCAATCTCAACAACTCCTTCGAAGCAACAAAGGAGCCCAAGAAGCGACTCGTGCAGTCTCAACACCTCCTGTGAAGCAACGAAGCCGAACAGGATGGACGAATAAGAGAAGATTAAAAGCAAACCCTAGACGCTTTCATTACTGGTTAACTTAATTAATATAATTTAAAATAGGGATTTTTACATACATAACACCTGAAACTATTTAAAATACATATTCAACACCTAAAATTTCATATTTACTAATATACCACATAAAATACGTTAAATCACGCCGTTTGGGTTCCGTGTAAAAAGCCCTACCTCGCTTCTCTTCTATTCAGTCGTGAAACCCTTCCCTTCTCCGCGTTTACCCTTCGTCTTCCCCTCGTTCTCGAATCCAACCCCTTGCATTTGCTGTCGCGTTTGAAGGTTTCACACGAGGCGCATCTTCCCTTGGCCTCGCTTCTTCTCGGTCACGTTCGAAGAGAAGATCGGCAAGGTTTGAAGATCGTATTTTATATTTCGTGAATGTGTTTGTTGTTCGAAGATCGAAGGATGATTCTAAATTTTTTCACCATATGAATGTATTTGTTGTTGTTTTATTGTCTTCTTCTCCAATCTGTCGAACTTCTCGCATCTTCGACCCATGCGTTAAAGGATTCCGACATATTATTTGTATTGTAGTGGTTTTTAATGTGCAAAGAGAATGTCGCCTTAGACCACTTGCATGACAATACATTCAAGTAAGAGTACACTTGCGGACTAATTTTTAAGATCTCCTCCATTTTCTTATGCAAGTCATGTAGCTTGTAACTATTTGCAGCTGTCCAAACCAAATTTTGGAGCTTGTTGCCATCCTCACAATGAAAGTATTTTTTTATATTTTTCCACAGGTGTCTCATGCACACTCTGTGCTCGGCATTTGAAAAAATAAGTTTTATAGCTTCCCTAAGACCCTTTTCCATGTCGGGATTTTATCTAGGGCACGCGATGTGAACTATGATCGAAGAAGAGGCGACGAAGGAGAGACGGGATTCGTACCTGCTCGAGTGAAGAAGAGGCGACGAAGTTTCGCCGAAGCTTTCACGCGGGAAAATTGAGTGGGTTCGGGGAGAGGGGTTTTGACGGAACGGAACCGAACGGAGTGCTATATCTAATGTTTAGAATGAGAAATAAGTGGTATATTAGTAAATATGAAACTTTAGGTGTTGAATAGGTATTTTAAGTAGTTTCAGGTGTTATGTATGTAAAAATCCCTTTAAAATATTAATAATTAATATTAGAATTAGTGTATAAATTAATTATCTAATTTAACTTAATAAAATAGTTAGTAATATAATTAGCAATTATAAATTAATATAATTATCTTATACATTATTAAATATATAATTAATAATATAAATAATAGTTAAATAATTAATGAGCAGTAGAATTCTTAAGTGATTAATGAGATAATTAATAATAAAATTTATAATTAAAACTAATGAAATAGTAATTAAATTATTAATTAAATAATTAGTAGGAATATTATTTAAATAATTAGTTATTTCAAAATATTTTGTTAATTCAATTTTAAATCTCCAACCGTTTTAAATCCTGTTATCTCTTGCCAAACATCTTTATGGATTTAGCAGGATTTAAAAATTGTCATACCAAACACAATTCAGGATTTAAGAGCCCAGAATTTACTAAATCCGGATTTACAGGATTTAGTAAATCCTACTAAAATTGAATTCAATCCTATACCAAACACCCCCTAAGGAAATCCCGTTCCTTCTCCGTTTTGCTTTAATCCCAGATTTAGGAAATCCGATAGTTCGGCGGATTTACGGGATTTAGGAGAAGAAGAGCGCCAACGGGAGAACCATTACCTTCGCAGCGAGCTCCCCTGTAGACTACGAATCCGAGGACGTCGAAGAAAGCGAAAAGGCTTCAGAATCTTTCAAAACGCTGCTCACACATAGCACGCAAAGCTGAAGCAGCAACTAAGAAATGGCGTCGAGGAAAAGCAAACCCTAGACAGACTTAAGACCGTATGAAGAGCATAGACAAAGACCAAACAATAGAAATTATAGAAATAGATAGGCAATGGCATAGAAGAATACAGTTTCTGCACAAACTTCATTTTTGCTCCAATCAGCTTTCTTATTTTTGCTAAAACTAAAAATTTTCAAATCTGACTCAAAATGAATTCAAGAGTAGGCCTAGCTCTGCCGTGCCTCCACTAACGCTTCAGTTCTCCAACATCTTCATCCAAGATAACCCATAAATTCATTAAACACCCCTACTAGTTCGGAATTCCCCACACACACTCCCAGAGACAAAGAAGAACGAAAACAATTATCCAGATCAATATCATCGAACTCATTCCAAACAAAGAGAGATTAGAGCTTACCCTATCCTTTCCCTTCCCCTCCAGTGAGACAAAGATTGCTGTAATGCCAAACAGTGAGCACTACTTCAAGTATAAGGCAATGATCATTAAATAATGTTCTCTTATATTTGTCCCAGAGAATTCAGGAGATAATATTGTGTCAAGAAATCGACAGAGAGAGAGAGAACGCAAAGGCTATAAATTACCCAAGAGGAACGGCGGATTGCAGATGGGAGAAGAGAACTTCAGAAAGCTAATGTATTGCTTTTCGGTTGTGTGAATATGCGGGAGAGAGTGCTTTTTGGGGGCAAAGAGAAGCAGCGGAAGAAGCCGCCGCGAGGAGAAACCGCAGCGAGGTGAAGGAGAAGCAACAGCTACAAAAACCCGGAAGCGACGAGATGCAACAGAAAGCGAGATCTGGCCGCAAAGAGACTTTACGACGAGGGATCGGAGATCCGGCAGCGAGGACAAGCGGCACCGATGGACGCACGCTGGAGGCCACTCGCCCGATGGAAAAGGGAGGACTCGTGGACGAGAACGGCGTAGGACAGAAAAACAAGCGAGGAAAGATTGCGTTAAAATTGTCGAGGCCTGTTTGTTTAATTAGACCATTTTATTTGGTTTAGAAACACAATTATTTACTTTAGAGTTCATTTAATTTTTTAATATATATATTTAAAAATAATTTCCGATTTAATATATATGAAGAAATATAACCATTATTTTTTTTTTAATTAATATGTCCAGAAGATTTATAAGTGCTAAATTTTCTATAAGTAAATCAAATATCAAATTTTTATAAGGATTTTGTAAAGGTAAATCAAATATCAAATTTATATTATGTATGACAAAGAATGAAAGGAATCATGTTAGATGTTTAGGTATTCATCAAAATTAAAGCTAAAAATAAAAAATATAAGCAAATATTTCTCTTAACGATCTCAATGATCTTATATGCAATGTGACGAATGTTGATAAGAGACAATTTAACAAAAAAATGGTTAGATATGTCAAACATAGTTTGTGATAAACCTAAAACTAACGAATGGATATGATTTTCTAATTATTTATGTACATTGGGGCTAAAAGAAATTAATCAGTTTATGAAATAGATATGAATAACACATAACCTACAATGGTCGGTGTCTAAAAGTACATCGAATTTAATAGTTGTTCATTTGCTTGCATAAGTGCTTGAGTTTATCCTCGAGTGATTTATGTTTTATATAGTTCTTTGAGAACAAAGAAGAGTTGAGTTAAATGTTGGACACAATCCGCTTAATTTGTTTGAGACAGTTTTCTTACTATTTTTACAGTAGCTTTTTAGTACAATTTTTTTTAAAAGTAATGAAAAAATTAGTGGCAAAATACTGTTACAAACAAAACCTAGGGATGTCAATTTCGGGTCACGGGTTGGGTTCGGGTTGAATCCGAAACTAACCAGGTAATATTCGGGTCAACCCGAACCGACCCGTTTTTGAAAACTGGTCAGTTTTCCTGACCCGAACCCGACCCGCTTCGAGTCCGAGTCAACCCGACACGACCTGAACGACCCGTTTCCAACAAAAAATTGTTAATTTTCTGATCAAAACAGGTATATCTCCTCTATTTCAGGTTAAAAACGGGTCAATCTCGGGTTGTCGGGTCAAAATCAGGTCACTTTCGGGTCAAATGGTTAACCTGACCCTATTTTTGAAACGGGTCAAAATGCTGTTGACTCTAACCCGAAATTTTCAGGTCGGGTTCGAGTCGGATTTTCGGGTCGTGTCAAATGTTGACACCCCTAACAAAACCTAAGAAATGACTTCTCTCATTGTTCTGAAAAAGAACTTTCATGCTAAGTATATCATAAGTAAGAGCGAGTTTGAACAAGCTTAAATCTTCATTTGGGACGACTTTTTTATTGCTTATCAAAACTTAAAATTTATTACTAAAATTTCATGTTAAAAAATAATAAAAAAAACCGACTCAACTTGAAAAAAAATCAACTTGTATATTATAGAATATTAACAAAGGGGATCGCTAGCAGTCATGTCACTTCATTAAGGCACTTAGTCAATAAACAGATATGAGAAAGCTACAGAAACCAACACTTTGATTTTATTAATAGACAGAAGAACCTTTCCACCTCCACGGCCAGCTCACAAGTTGCTAGAAGGGACTAATTCTCTGGTTGTGATTGAAGAAAGAAGATCCACAAAAATAAAAAATAATGAGAAAATTTTTTTATTAAATGTCATAAACTTTATTATTAATAAGTTATAAAAAAGTTCTTTTTAATCAAAACGGAGTAATGTGTTAGGTTCTAGTCATTCGGGTTGCTTGTGGGTCGTACTCAGAATGATGATTTTGACTCGTTTATTAAATAGATTAGTTTGAATTGATTGGATTATGGTCAGACGACAACCCGACCCGTCAATCCATTTTGATACTCCTAATTCCGCGAAGAAAAGCATAGTTATGAAAATAATTGTGGATTGATTTATTTAAATAATTGTATATATCAAAATAATGTTGTATGGGATAGTAAGTAAAAAATAAATTGATTTATATAAATATAAATTAATTTCTTAAGATATTATTAAGTTTAATATAAATTTAAAATGAATGATTCTTCCAAAATTTAGAAGAATGATTCATCTATCAAACATTGATCTTTAAAAAAAAAGGAAAGGTTAAATTTTGAAATAAATTGTAAGAACTTGTTAAAGTATGCAATATATTATTCACTTTGTCTTGCCAATCTCTTATTATGTTTGAATCTCATGAATTGATATTTTTTTAAACGGGTCAATTTCTGGAACCCGAACCCGACCATTTTTGAAATCGGGTCGGGTTCAACCCGGATTTTCCAGGTCGGGTCCGAGTCGGGTTTTCGTGTCGTGTCAAATATTGACACCCCTACTCGTACCCCCATTTTTTTTTTCTTAGCAGCCCACCAAAACATCTCTTCTTATCCGTCTTGGTGATCACTCATCACTCTCTTTTGGGTTGGGATGTTATAAGACTATCATCTTTCTATTAGTTCATCTATCAAACATTGATCTTTAAAAAAAAAAAGAAAGGTTAAATTTTGAAATAAATTGTAAGAACTAGTTAAAGTATGCAATATATTATTCACTTTGTCTTGCCAATCTCTTATTATGTTGAATCTCATGAATTTATACATTTTTTTATGTAACTTTCGATGAAGTTCGACTCTTTCGTCTTCAACCTGCAATCAAGAGACAAATCAGAAAAGAGCATAGAAGCATAGCTGCGGGTAAGTGTTACTGTTCATCTTCATTCCTTGCTACTAACAGAAGATACATCATTTCAATATAAAGAGCCGGTTAGTTAGATACTAATGGCTGAGATCAAAGAGCAACGGGTATAGTCGAAACCAGAGAGATGGAGCAAAGAAGTGGATATGCAAGCCGCTTTTGTATAAGCAACCAGATCTTTATCAATTCTCTTTATCAACTTTGCAGCAAGTCACCATCATAAAATTGCTCCATTACAAAGAAAAGATAGCTAAAAAAATGTATTTGTGTGTGTGAGAGTGTGTGTGTGAGAGAGAGAGTCATCTTCTATGGATAGAAAAACTTTATTTACATGTGAAGAAAAAATGGCTTCAACACTACAAAAAAAAGTGTTTTTTTTGCAGTAGATATTAGAAGCAGTTTTAGAACCGCTGCCAAAACCCTATTTTAATTAGCATCGATTTTGACTGTTACAAATTGCATCGGTTTTGATTGGTGCAATTAGCACCTCTTTTAGGAGAGAGAAAATGACAAAAGAGTAGGATGAAGCCCCAGAAATAATGTTGTATGGGATAGTAAGTAAAAAAATAAATTGATTTATATAAATATAAATTAATTTCTTAAGATATTATTAATTTTAATATAAATTTAAAATAAATTATTCTTCCAAAATTTAGAAGATTGTTAAAATTTTAATTTTTTAATATAAAAATGTTTAAAATAAACTATATTTAAGTTAAGAATAAATATAGAAAAAAAAAATCAATTGTTCCAAAAAAAAAATCAAGTTATATATGATGACTTAAATCCTTATTTATATTGATCAATATCCTTTCCTCTATTATAATATGAGATTTGGTTTACTCATACCCCATTTTTTTTCTTAGAAGCCTATCAAGAATCTCTTCTTATCAGTCTTGGTAATCACTCATCAGTCTCTTATGGGTTGAGATGTTATAAGACTTTCATCTTTCTATTAGTTCATCCGTCAAATATTGATCTTTAAAAAAAAAAAAAAAAAGGTCAAATTATGAAATAAATTGTAACAACTAGATAAAGTATACAAAGTATTACTCACTTTGTCTTGCCAATCTCTTATTATGTTGAATCTCATGATTTTATACTTTTTGATATGTAGCTTTGCAGCAAGTCATCATCATAAAATTTCTCCATTACAAAGAGAAGATAGCTAAAAAAAATGTAATTGAGTGTGTGTGAGTGAGAGAGAGAGAGACATTACAAGAAAATGCCTTGTTATCGGTGGATCGAATCGGATGACAATAATGGAAATCAGCCGAAAATTTTCATTTTCCTGTGAATTTCCCGCGAAAATCCATTTGACGGTGATATATCATCAAAAAATTATCTTGACTGGGCATGAATCTCGAAGCAAAATTAAGTTGGTAACTTCAAAAATTAAATTCGGGACCATATGAACTTCGATTTCAACAAACTTATAATCGAACTGAACGTCTCGGAAATACGAAGCCAACAACACCAAATTCGACCCAATCCAAGTTCCAATTGGTTCAAATTGAAGGCCCGAAGCACATTCGGAAGGTCCAAATCATAATTTAGATTATCAAACATTTTACAAACATGATATGCTTATATTCGAATCTAACGGCTCGGCGAGACAAATACGACAAGCTCAAGATCGTAAAATTCTAATATCATTGAGGCATTCAAATGCCTAATAAACAGTCTATGGTCAAAGGATTCAACATCGACTATCCATTCAAATCACTCCCAATTTACCCTTAATGGATATATCACTCTCAAAAACTATAAATAGGCCCCTCATTTTCATATAGAAATGGACCCCAAAGGGGAGGAAGAAGGAGGCACAAGCAAGAAGAGAAGAGAAGAGAATGAAGATACTCCTCCTCGACCACCACCAGACTTTCACCCAGCAGCCTAGCGACACCGGAGTTCTGCTCGAATGCCATCTAACGTCGGAGTTCTGCCCGGTTGCCGACTGACGCAAGACTTCTGCTCGTCGTTTGACTTCTACCCGATGTCGAACCTCCACTCGTCGCCGAATTTCTACCAGGCACCGGACTTCCGCCCGTCATAGAAATTCTATCAGACTTCTACCTGACACTGGACTTCTACCCTTCGTCGGACATTCGTCAGACTTATATCTGATGCTAGACTTCTGTCAATCGATGGACTTCTCCCTAATGTCATCCTTCCGACCTCCGTCATCAGACAACGGTCTTTACGACCTCCATCGCCCGCCGACCCCGGTCCTTCTGACTTACATACATTTCCCACCAACTACGATCCTTCTGACCAAACAAATACATCAACATCAATTCTTTGTATTCCTATATTGTAAT